GGTTATTTGGTAAAGTATGGTTCAGACTGGTCGAGTATTGTTCAGACCTTTGGTCGAGTATGGTTCAGACTGAAAAAATAGGTCGAGAGCTGGTCGAGTACTGGTCCAGACTGGGTTAAGACTGTTTCAGACTGGTCGAGTAATAGTTTAGACTATTTTCAATAGCAAAGATAAGGGTCAAGTACAAATCAGTACAGTCGAGTATGGTTAAGACTGGGTCGAGTAATATTAAGTAAAATTCAGACCAATTCAGACTGGTCGAGTAAAAATCAGTACAGTCGAGTACAGATATAGGCCATTTCAGACTTTTACTGGTTTGTAGTGTAGGTTAAATGGGTAGTTGATTATTGTGCGCATTTTATCGTTCATTAAAACGTTTGTATGATTCATTTGAGGCGATTCTAATTTCTTTGCGAGGAGCCTAACACGGAGACGCCGGAAAATTATTAAGAACTCGTAACATGAAAACTATTACGATGCAAATTAAGGGGGAAATAAGACCGATCTACGAACAACCTGAGGGAGCTTTGATTTACACTCTTTGAATGATCTTAGGATTATCTTATCTTCCCCTTAATTCAATACTAACGACCTCTCTTTATAAAATTTCTTGTTACCGGCCCCAGGGGCCAGTAACAAGAAGCTCTCTTAACACTTATGATCATCTTAAGACTGGTTTAGTGACTAAGAGTGTAACAAGAAGCAATCTTATATCAATCTTAGAATGATTGACAGCCCTAAAGACTTTCGAATTTCGTACGGATTTAAGGGAAATTCAATTCTTTGCCTTCCCTTTTCATAAACTTATCAATTCGGGTAACTCGAAAAGATATTAATTTTCTTGTCCTTTAGTAAGAACTCTTTGCATCAACTTAAGCATTTACGAGCGTAACACTATTCTTACTTAACTCGTTTTAATGTAAGTGTGGTTCTACTCACCCCTAAACTACTCTTTGAATGAAAATGGCGCTTGTTTAAATATGATCAAATATGATGAATAATTAACAGGTGAAGAAATCAAGATCGCTTTACTGGCATGAACATACTGGGATTTTGTGTTATTAAAATTTAATGTTACAAACTTTTGGATATTATTTTAAATTAAGGAATATATCTCCCTCACGCAAAGCTCTGATTCCTTGCCCGACTTTGGCTATACTCTTTTGTCATTTTTGGTTTATAAGCTCTTAATATTAATAAGATGGGATTTTCAAATATTTTGGCCTCGATCATCACTGAAGAGACATTTATTGTCCAAATGCGCATCTGGTGCAGAAAACTTGGTACCTTTAATGTTATCAAAAAACGTTTATTCCATGACCACTGAAATCCTCTTGATTTTGTGACAGATGGACAAATTATCAAGAAACAACAAATTATCAAGAAACATCGGTTAGACAGAGCGATCATATATGACTTATGGTTATATCCTTTAACCCCCCCCCCCCCCCCCAAAAAAAAAAAAAAAAAACGATTTCAATTCAGGGGATATTTGAATCTGTAATCGTTTAATTTGAACTATTTGTTTGTTTTGAAGAAAAGAAAAATTTCATTTAGAAAAGAAAAGTTTTTCCTTTTTTTAACTCCATTTTAATATCGAGTCCAATTTTTTTCCTGATACTCCCCAACAGAGACCCATTTAGAAACTAAAATATTAAAGAAATGTTTAATGTACACTTCTAACAACTGTCTTATATATACTGATCCTTAAATCCCCCCACCCTACCCCCACCCAAACTATAAAATAGAATCTTATATATATACTGATCCTCAAATTTCCCCATAAGACTTTAAAATACTGCCTTATATATACTGATCCTCAACTTTCCCCCATAACTTTTAAAACAGTGTCTTATATATATATATATATACTGGTTCTCAAATTTCCCCTAAAATTATAAAATAGTATCTCATAAATACCGATCCTCAAATTTCCACCAAAACTAACAAAATTACTATAAAAATAACTATATATCGATCTATCAGTACAGTTTATTCCGTTCATGAAAAAGATGAACTGCGTTTTAACGGAATAAACGGTATGAATAATCCGATATTTCTTATTTAAATATTTCAATTTAAATAAAATACTGTCTTATATCTACTGATCCTCAAATCTGCTGAAGGCCGTACGGAGACATGTAGTTGTTAAATTCACGTCATGTCGTCTCTGGTAGAGAAATGTCCCATTGGCAATCATACCCCCCAATGATCCTCAAATTTCCCCCAAAAACCATAAAAATTCGTCGTATGGGGTTTCGAAAATGAATGAAATCTTTCTTTTATTCATAGATAGATAACCAATGAAAATGCAAATTCCACCGTTGGCTTGTGGGGGGACGAGGATATTTCTTCATGTTGAATATTCGGTTTTCGTGGTTTATTGCACTAAGTCATCATATTCTTTTTTCTCTAAAATTTTTTATTGTTTATTTCCGATGCAAAGACCCTATGGATTTTCCACAGGATTTTCCATTCTTTAAAGATTTAATAGCTTTTAGTAGTTCAGACTCTGTGATCGTATAGTCTATTTCATTAAAAGTATTAGTTTTTCGAAATTTTTAAGCTCCCGTAGAATAGTTTCCTTTTCAGCAATCGTATTTTTATTTAGGGATTTAAAATGATTTTCCCAATCTTCCAAACTAATATTTGTTTCTTTTTTATCCTTGTTATCTCCTTTTATTTCCAATAGACTTTAGGATTTTCATTTTGAAGATTATCTAGCTTATTAATCAAATCACTTTTGAACTTTCTCATTTTATCTTTTCTTATTTTTGTATAATGTTTTGGGCATTTAAAATATGATTCACCCTTTTTTCCAAAATCCGTTATTTTTTTCTATGAATTTCAATTATTTTCGCGTTTTTTTCTGTATTAAACGAATATAAATATACTGCAAATAACTTGTAATTGCTATTTACTATCAATTCCAAGTTAAGTTAAACTATCCACAACGGTCACTGATATAGCTCATCAGTGACCTGTCTTGTCCTGTCCACATGTACCAATGGTCTTGTCGGTTGAACGACCAATATAAAATTATTAATAATTCATTGAATTATATCCCCAAGCTTCTATAATAAATATAAAGTACTAGTTATTGTACTCGTGTGTATTTAAAGTTGGAATGAATGAAGAAATTTTTGATTTATCTCTGATTAGCAGCAGCATCAATGAAATTCGAAAGTACAGTGGAACCGGTGTAAAGATACCACTTTAGGGAGGTCTTTAAATACAGATTCGATCTTTATGAAATGCATAACAGAATGACCTCAATTTAATGATCTTGTAACACAGGTTTTTGCTTAATACAGGTGGTCTTTTTTTTAGCAGGCTTGACTGTACGTTCGAATTCCAATAAATAGGAGAGGATAAATATATTTATTAAAGGTATTGGTCACATGACGTAGTTACGGTCAAGTGATTGTTTACTATAAACACGTGTGTGTGTTTACATCAAGCACATGGTGTGTGTTTATGTTCTATTTGATTGGATGGCATATACCCGCAATGCGGTTTTTACGGGTATATGCGCTCATGAGATTCGTGAAAAGCATGATTAAGTATTACTTAAGGGGTTCGTTTTAGAAAATAAAGTTATTTGAAGTTTGCCTATAGTTAACGTAGCAGCAGTTCGTTATATGTTTACCCACCCACCCACCCCTTTTATGAGTTGGTTATTGTTAACGTGGGCATATACATATATTACACTATATTAATATGAATTTTTCCTCTTTTGTAGATAGTTTTTGATTGTGTTACTGTATATTCTATTATATGATTGGATTGGTAGTGTGCTTGTCTGAATTATAGTGAAGGACTTTAGTTTGAAGAATTGTGAATGTAAATAATATTAAAGGCTGCTACACCTGTAGGCACACTTATCCTATTTATGTGTTGTTTTATTTATTAAATAATTTATATTCGTTTGAGCTGGCGAATTAGAATATAATATATTATATGTAATTAGATCTAATTACGATGAAACATTTATCATAGTTTAAATAAAAGTGATTTAGTCTTAAAGAATCATTACCTCATGCGATGCCTGAATAGGCATAATCATCTTTATTTCTTATGCAGCATAAATACTGCAATCTGATTGGTTAATTACCCCGGTGTAAATAACACCCCACCCTTGTTCACCCCGGGATAAATAAAATTTTGCCAAAAAATTTAAAAAAATAAAATTTTACCAAAATAAAGAAAAAAAATAAAATGTCAAAAATAAAAAATGAATAAATTTGAGGACAAAAATTTGTAAAAAAAGATTTAAAATTTTTTTTATTTTTTTTCTTGAAAATTTGAAAGAACACAAAAAATTCTGAATTTCCCAAAAATAAAGAAAAAAAATATTGAACAATGCGCAGCAACAACGACGTTGAAAAAATGTTACACTGGAAATTCTTTATTAGCATTTTTCAATTTTACATCCCAGTTTAAAAATGGGTAAAGGAATTGTTCATAAGAAATACATTCGTTATCTTGGTGTAATCAGGGGTGTACGGAATTTTACACCGTTGTTGAAAATTCTGTACACCCCTGATTACACCAAGATAACTAATATTATGTTAAACATGAATTTAGTGAACGACCATTTGATATTCTGGGGGAGTCCAGGAAGATTATTGATAGAACATGTTGAAATTTTTTTGTCACTTTTGTACACATATCAAAATTAAAGTATTTAATATCAGAAAATATTTATTATTTTTTGGTATCAAGAAATCGATTTTCTGATATAAAAAAATGTTTCTTGATATCAGAAAATAAGGAATAAATAGTGAAACGGCGCCTCATGATTTTAGGTCCGTTTAGAATGTTTTAAATTGAACATAAAAATTAAAAAAAAGACATTTTTGTGTTTGTTTTACCCTGTAAACGACAAATACGATCAATGTGTTTTAATCTTTTCTTTGCCAGTTGTAGTCGCTATCCTATTTTAAGAATGGTTATTGATTGTAAACATGTTTTCACCGGAACTGTTTTTATACTATAAACTTTAAAATAAATAGTTGGTTTGGCAAATATGGTGTTTTTTCTCTGGATTGTTTTAACTATCGTTTTATTAATTTTGACTTTTAAGTATTATTTTGGAACGACAAGATGGTGTAAAAGTAAAGTAAAGTTAAATGGAAAAACTGTTCTAATCACAGGTGATTATTTATAACATAACAGGATTTTTGTTTACTACTTGTGGTAAGGTGTGCCGTAAGGATCATAAATTATATTTATATTTTCAGTCATGTCAGTGACGTCTTGGAAGGATACATACTAGATTGTTATTAAATAAAATGAAATAATACCGCTATTAGTAATAATAATAAGACGAATACAGATTATCATAGTAATTGCATTTAGCAGTAAATAAATACAAATAGAAATAGTAAATAGTAGATTAAATTTAATAAATAAAAATTTATGGTAGTTCGAAAACAGAGCTGGGAAGACAGACTTTGAATGAACAAAACAGCAGCTCATTGATTAGTTTTTGTTTTTTAACGTCCAGTGGCAAATATTTCATGCCTTTTCATGACAAAAACAAATAATCAATTCAATAAATGGGTTTTGCAAATAGGGCGATCATGGTGAAAGGCGATAATTTAGAGTGTCACTAGAAAATAAGGGTATGCTCGATGGGGACAGAAATGATACCTTTTAAACAGGTCACTGTTGCTGCAATTGTTCCTAAATGTGCACGTAGAGAACGTGTATTTCTCCGTTCACGAGGTCCTGAATACATCCCGCCTAGACAATTGGACTACCCCCCGAATTAGCACGAGATTTGCTGTCCAGGTCAGGCATGACCATGCATACTTCAGTCTATTCTGTGTGCCTGAAACGGTAAATTTAATATGTCAATTTATACATGTTATAATCATGGACTCGTACATTAGCATGATTAGTATCAGTAGATTATCGGATTTATCAAATCGATAATAAAGTTAAATTCCGAGCTTTGGCGAGGATTTTGAAATTATGCGATAATTTGACTATCGAGATTATTGATCCGATGATGTGAGAGACTGATTCTGTAATGATTATCATCTAATTTTCATTTTTGATAAACCAAAATCCCTTCCGAGTGCCACTTTTTTCTTGGTTTCTACGTCATACAGTTATGGAATAGATTCATTTTTGCATCTCTGCAGGGAGTCAAAGGGAAGCAAACATTTATTAAAGACTAGTTTTATCAAGAAAATAGCGTAAATGAAATAAATGTTCATATGTTATAGTGAACAACTTGAACATCAATTTTGAGTTCGAACTATTTCCGCGTACTAAAAGATTATATAAAGTTGTCAACTTCTCGAACACATGTTAACACATTTCGATTCACCCTGAGAGCTGATAAAAACTTTTAACTTGGCCAACTATCTACTGAGATCGTCGGCAACTACGCGTTGATTAAATTATTTTTAAATAATGGGTTCAGGAAGGGTTAAATTGCCACTTATAATAAGAGAAATATGAATATAATGCCCCGACCTTCAGCAGAAAACAATCGAAACATTTAACTTACATTAATCTGTTAATCAGACGTGTAGTCATTAACTAAATGCTTGACAATTTTATTGTGTTAAGTTGCAAACTCGAAATAAGTCATCCGGGTATATATCTGGTGTTAGAATATGTATAGCGGGGTCCTGACGACGCGGTCCTGACACAATATTCTCAATAATGTAAGTGGACTTCCGGTTCGAATATAGAATATATATGACGTGAAGCTTTTGAAATCGAAAATATTTTACCAGGATTCCAGGTTAGTTAGCAACAGCTACATGCTAAATTAAACAGAAATCACTTGATGAGAAAGTCATTCAGAGATGATATACGTAACAACCTGACTTGAGACGTGCACATAAAAAAGGCAGATTTAAACCAGTTTCCTAATCTAAACCTTCTCTTTCGTCAGCCACTATGCATGCTATGGGAGAGTCTTCAATCCCTAAAAGTGTTATTTTTTTATTTATTTTTTTGGTTTTTTTTTGTGTTTTATTAGGTGGTAATATTGGTATAGGGAAAGCTACTGCCATTGATTTAGCAAACCGAGGAGCAAGAGTGATTATAGCCAGCAGAAATAAGGAAAATGCAATCCAAACTATTAAAGAGATATACGGTAAGGGGTCTGTTTGTTTCTCATCGCTTCTGATATCGTTAATTCGATAATAATCATGATATTGGAGCACCTACCCTTTTCAATGTGTCTTTGAAACCAAGCACAGAGAACTATCTATATTTTTCAAGAATACTGTAAATTGGTTTATCTATTTTATCCCATTTAAAGACGGGTTCTATTTATGCCAACGTTTCCATTCTGTGTTTCAACAAACTTTCTCAACGTTCTGAGTAGAAAAAGAATTAACGACTTTTATCACACTACGAATAAAATGAGATGTGAGGTAAATGTGTTAACGAGACAACAATTGAACTATATAAATTACCAATGAAATATGTATGGTATTGCGCTAGTACACCTTCATTTTGTTGAATAATACATTTTAAAGAATTTTTTAAATAATTCGAATTTGGAAATGTATTTTAATTGAATTTCAGATAAATATTAAGCCATTGATAATTAGTTCGAAAAAGTAGATCTCTTGAAATAGGGAAACGATTCCATTTTTTAACTCTTGATATAAACTCATCATAGATACCTGGATACCAGGATTAAAATTATGTACGCTCGACGCGTATTTTGTATACAAAAGATTCATCAGTGACGCTCGAATCAAAAATGTTAAAAAGGCCAAATAAAGTGCGAGCATTGAATATGACATTGTTTTGATTTTCATCCTATTCTTGTTTACTTATTTATCTTTTTACAGAAAAAAACGGAAATGATAATGTACGTTTCATGTACTTAGATCTAATGGATCTGGAGGTTGTCAGACAATTCGCAGAACAATTTTTAAAAGAAGAAAAAAGACTTGACATCCTCATTAATAATTCAGGTAATGATTGATTGGGTATACATAGCTGACGTAGTTCAATCGTTCAACAGACTATTACAAGTATATGCATCATTAGAAAGGATATGGAGTAAATGTACATGGGACAAAATCGCACACAATACATAGAAAACATAGAAATTTATCAATGAACAGGGTTTTTATTACTGTTCTTCATCTTGACAGTTGATGTAGGGTCTTCAACAATGAACGAATCATTCATACCCTACAACAAGGTCAAGACGGCCCCTAGCGTCGACATAAGCGGTACTATTGATAAGAATAAACCACAGTTTTCCTTCTTGCTCCCCACCCCATACATGTATTTAGGACGATAACATGCTCATTAAAAAATAACAAGAGTATTAATTAAGAACACTGCAAGGGTTTAATTTTTAATAGCCTAACAAGATTTGTATTAGCTTTGTTCTAAATGTTACCAGTTGGAACCGGAATTTAAGATTTATGTCACTTAGACAAGTAAATCTGACTCAGAGCCAACAAGTTTTTGATCCTACTTGTAAATGCTGCATGCTTAGCACGTAAGTAGCACAAACCGAAGCCCTCCTACATATTTAATGTTTAACGTCGTCATTCGTTCTGTGGTGGATATTTGTTTCATAACAATCATACCACATCTCCTTATTATTATATCAACCCTGACACGTATTTAAGTTTTCAAGCCAGGAGCATATAATCCTATGGTTGTTGTTGGTTGATGTCTGCTGTAATTATTTTGGTTGATTTTTTGAATAGTATAAATACGGGTGTTACATGTAACTAGATTAAAACAGCATTATTATTAATATGGTGTTCTCAAATACATAGATTATTCGCATACATAAAAATGAACTGAACAAATTGATTTACAAAAGACAGTAGGTCACCCTTAAAACAGAAGCTGAATAATGACACTGATTTTGTTTTATTGTATGAACTGAGGTATTAAGATGCAACTAGGATACTGTGAATTCATCAATATTCATTGGATACCAATTTTCGTGATTTTTGTGGATACAGGTGAACCACGAATTCACATATCCGCGAAAAGGCAATTTTTCCGCGATCCACGAAAATTGGTACCCACGAAAATAAATGAATCCACAGTAACTAGCCAAGAGAACAGGAACAACTACTGTGTGTACCCTATATAATTCGTGTTTATTTGTTGTAGGTATTGCAGGATGGGCCTATAAAACAATAGGTCCGAAGACAAAGCAGAATTATGATTTAATTTTTGGGGTTAATCATCTAGGACACTTCCTGTTAACGTATCTTTTACTTGACCTTTTAAAAAAGACCCGAAATTCACGTGTAATAAATGTCAGCTCACTTCGGCATTTATGGCGGAAATCACCGCTTACGTATGACAAAGGTCCAAATAATGATGGTATGATTTATCCGGACCTGGCTGGTTACGACACAAGCAAACTAGCTAATGTTATGCATTCAAAGATGTTGTCGAAAATCCTTCAAGGTATGTATATTAACGTTAAACATGTTTAAATATAAATGTCAATCAAACAACATTCACTTATGGAGAAACGAAAGATTTGGGGTATCCATCCATGACACAAAATCAGTACATGCACAGCAAAAAAAAACAACACAATAAGCAAAGGCAAACCGCTTTCATTGCAATTCTTCGTCTCAAAGTCACAGTGTGGCCTTATACACACGGAACATAACAACTCTCTCCTCACTGCAAGTTTAAAACGGCCCCTAGCACCGACATATATAAAACAAAATAGTTCCCATGCATAGGTATAAAAGAGGCGCGAAAGATACCAGAGGGACATTCAAACTCACAAATCGAAAATAAACTGACAACACCATGTCTAAAAAAGAAAAAGACAAACAGACAAACAATAGTACACAAAACACAACGTAGACAAATAAATGCTATAAAGCAACACGAACGTATACATATCTAAATATGTAGATTATATTTTGGTAATTTGGGTATCAAATGAAAAGAACTAATCAACTTTCGAAAGATGTCTTAATCACTCGATATGACTCGACCATGAGAGTATTTGAAAACAGAAGTAAGACGGCGTTGCCTCGTTGTCAGTATGAACTGCTGACCCTTCTGGAACACCCGAGTTCAATTCCTGTTTTAGTGGATTTTGAAAAACGTAAACTGTTGCTTCTACCATGGAAGCAAAAAAGAAATGCAGTGTTTCCTTATTTTAAAGTTGTTTGAATATTTTGTGGTTGTAGTTACGAGTTAGTTTGTTTGAAAGTAGACAGTTATTTGTTTAAAATTCAGTGGCAAGTATTTCATGCCTATTCAGGACGAGAACACGTTAAGTTTAGACTGCCACAGTGACTTTAAACCATGGCATGTGTAAGATATGGTAGCAGTTTTACTTGAAACACTGTCTTAACGTATGGATCCCTTAAAAAGTTGGTTTAAGTTTTCTGTCCCGTGCATAAAGCATGTCACTTTCCTTACACTAGGCATCAGGTGCAATGTCCTCATTTAACTGGTCGTGTCAGCATTTGCGGTTGAGTCCTACTCCTTTTGCGGATATGTCTGCCGAAGGTGACGCTTATGTGCCGTCCTAACAAGATTGACAATCAATTCACCGTTTCAGAATCTAATGCATTCTGAGTAATATTTTCAATATACCAATTGGTATGATTGGTTAAAAACGTCATAAACAATTTAAATTCAACCAATGACGTAACGTTATTTTCATTTTGGGGTACGTATAATTGGATGACCCATAGTCTGTTAGTTTTTAAAAAGGCAAATTGTATCATAAGGGTATTAACTACGGGTACAAAGTCACAGCTGCGCTACGATATATAACAAATTAGCTGTATACCACCTATTCTATTCTTAGCTCCGTTTTGTTTTCAAGCTGAGTCTCTTCCTATGCCAAACAAACCCGTTATATTTTTCAGGTGCTCCTGTAACGGCAAATTCCGTTCATCCAGGTTTGGCTGCAACCGATATTTTAATGGCACCTTTAAAATCAGTTTTACCAGAGAAGTTGTATTCGATTGTTGATCCAATCTTCAGGTAATCATATTAGTGAAATTTGGATTGTACATAAAACAGGAACAGTTTTAAGGGACGTGATTTGTATGCCCCACTTAGGGGCATTATGTTTTTCGGTCTGTGCGTCCGTTCGTTCGTCCTTTCGCCCGTGCGTTCGTCCGTCCGTCCCACTTCAGGTTAAAATTTTTGGTTAAGGTAGTTTTTGATAAAGATCTTGAACCTTAGTACACATGTTCCCTATAACATGGTCTTTCTAATTTTAATGCAAAGTAGAGTTTTGACCCCAAATTTCACAGTCCACTGAACATAGAAAATGAAAGCGCGAGAGGAACTTCCGTGTAGTATGAACACATTCTTGTTTTCTGTATTAATATTGACCACACTAACAACTTACATATTGTAAAATATCAATATTCAGGATGTTTTATTTCATAATGTTGTATAACAGATTGAGTCACCGTTCGTCTTCATACATTATGTAAACAAAAGTTAATGTTAATTAAAAATCCATAATGTTAATTTTTAAAATAAGACTGTCTGCCATCTCCATGCATGTCGTATATTATATGCAGCTATGACGAGATTGCGTCCCTAAGTATATGTATCAGATACCTTAAATAACCAGCCATAAGCCAGTTACAAAACAAAGGACTAAAATTTACAAATTATTAAATGCAGAAGGCTAACTATTAATAAGCTCATGATAATATATGATAACAAAATCATTATTTGCTGCGTAGGTGTAAAAATGAATGCTGGACATATAACTTGTAGACTCAGGGTTAACAATTATTGATTAGAAAGTTGAAGAAACGCGCATATCTTTCATATATTTCAATAACAGCGCTTCGTCAACTTATTGTCAAAATTTAACTAGAATTATTGGTGAATACCATTCATTGGGGATATTGATAATACTCACTTTTTGCTAGTAATTAAAAATAAGAACTCGTGTGTTTTCTACACAAGGAAATGCCTGTACCATGTCAGGAATATGACATTTGATTTTCATTAGTTAAATGTGTTACCGGTATAACGTTTGATTTTGCCATTTGATATTCCGTTTGAAATTTTCCTTGGAGGTCGGTATTTTTGTTGTTTTATTCAATGTAAAGTTGATCATTCTGTGTTGTTTTCCAGATTTATTAGTTTAGATAGTACAGGTGGTGCACAGACAACAATTTTTGCAGCTGTTGACGAATCTCTGACCACTGTGACAGGAAAGCATTTCGGCCATTGTAGACTTGCCTGGGAAAATAAATTAGCGCAGGATGATAAAGCTTGTCAACAATTATGGGACTATTCTATGAAGATGTGTGGTCTTACTTGATATTAACTGGATATGTACATGTGTGTTCTTAATTTGAATGTCTTGAAGTAAACAAAACGAATTAAAGTTCATTTCGACAAAATATATAGCAAAATTCAAACATTTTTGTATATTCCCAATTTATCCAAATTAAAGTTGTAGTTTTTTTAGTGTTTGTTTTAAATGTAGTTCATATTATATAAAAACATAGGCCAACACCTCTGTAATCAAGCTTAAAGCTTTCTCAATTCTATTTTGTACCTATTATGTCTGTTTATTGTGGTCAATATAATGGAATGCATTGCGACTATCATAGAAGTGATAGGTTTAGCTAACTGTAAAACCAGGTTTAATCCACCATTTTATACATAAGAAAATGCCTGTGCCAAGTCAGTTGTTATCCATTCGTTTGATGTATTTGAGCTTTTGATTTTGCCATTTAACTACAGACTCTTCTCGAAGTTCGGTATTTTTGTTATTTTACTTTTTAATAAGGATTATACATAGAAAAGTATGGTCACAATACTCGTTTTTTTTTTTGCAACAGATTGCAAATAGATGATTTCACTTAATAACTGTATATACTGTTGGCACATAATATTATTTTCTATATTTGTGGATTTTTCCGGTGAAAGATTTATGAACTTTTATTAAAAACCTGTTTCCGAAATTCTTTATGTAAAATTCATAGAAAATCATACAATATCATGAGTGTTGTTTCATCAACACTGATTGATTGTTAGTGTCTTAACATTCAGATGACGAGACAAAGAGTGGTCATGGCAAAATCCATAATGACTGTAATGTGCATGAAATTATGTCTGTAAATGTAATTAAATATAAAAATTTCCTATACAACATTTGTTATCTGTTCCCAGTAATTATAAATGACATCCTAATCTTGATTTTATCTGAGTGTATTGTTTTGTATTTTGATTCAAAATTGGCACTTAATTATGGTTCTAATGACATAGATACATGTACCATGAAACCGATTACTTTTTGGAATTTTTTGTTTTTAATTGTCTTTCACTTCATATTTGAATTAGGATTCAAATAGTTTGATTAGAGTGTTACTGATGAATCTTATGTAAACGGAATTGCCACTTTTCGATGATTTCACATGTGTTTATAGAACCAAAAAAAATCAATTTAGGATAACAAAACTTTCAGCCAGTCTAACCCCATCCACCCAACTATGTGAATTAAGTTGGTTTTTTTTCAACATCAATCTTTGTTGTAAATAAATAATACTCAATGGGATTGTTTTCCATTCACAGTTGTGGCGCAAACGTCAGTTCATAAAGTTCACCACACAAACCGTCATAAACTTATAGTGAGGTGGCAATTCATGCTTTGTGTTGAATGCCCCACTGTAACGTTGAGATAAAGAATATAATCGATGTTCCTTTGCTTTTTGTGTTTTTACTGTGTTATAGCACATATTTTACGAGTTTTTATACTGAATGGTTATTTTCAGTTTTTTTTTTTATCGTGCTCCAATCACTGAAGCGGATATTTATTTCCTTACATCCCAACAGCTATTGAAATCAAACTTTTATTTCTTGTTACTTTGTGCATATGTATTCCCTCGTGTTCTTCTTAAGCACAATCTTCCTTGAGATATTAATGAGGCTATCGGAAATGATAAGTCTAGAAATAAAAGACAACATTTTGGCATAACAATATAAAATAAGAAACTAGATATGGACAATACCATCCCCCCTTTCTGCTCTACCATACGCATGAGTAGAGCTCGACATACTTTAGATTTGACAAACAATGATGTTGGCATACAACTTGAAATTTCCTTTTCTGAATATTTAAACGAAATAAAAATCCTGTGCCCATGCACGCCTCCATTATGTGTATGAACATGTTACAAAATATTAAAGCTCTACCTCCAAAACTATAGGCGGAGATAGCGAACAAACCATTATATCTTTATACAGCTAGTACCAAAACATTACTAAGTCCAACTTCATGTCAATTTCAGAATATTTGAAAAAATCAAAATCATGTGGCCATGCACACGTTCGTTATGTGTATGAACATCCTACAAAATATTAAAGTTGTACCTCCAAAACTGTAGAAGAAGATAGCCGGACAAACAATGTATCCTAATCCGGAATGACGGACGGACGGACGAACGGACAGACGGATTGATAGAGGTAAAATAATACAATGTGTGCGAACCAACATTTTGTCGCGGGGGCATAAAAAAGACGAAAAGAAGAACAACATAAATAAAACACTACACAGATAAGTAAAACATTGAATAACCAATCAAAACACCGTGATTGAACCACAAGGCTGCTGAAGTGTCAGCAGTTCCTGTTCCACATGTGACGGGTGACATTCATCGTGGTACTACAATGTATCAATAACATACAAATGAAATTTACCAGTGCTTTTTTTTAGTTCGTATGGTTACTGAAGATGTGTTCTCACAGCCTGCTGCAGCAAATTCGGTACCATTCTTATTATAACTACCACTTGGTCAATACCTCAGGCTCTGCTGGTGGACTATAAGTCCCAAAATGGTATCACCATCCCTGTAGCAAGTACTTCGATACTGGCATGGAAATAAGGATATTATGTAATTATAATATACTATTACAAAATTTTTGAATTTTAAATTAAGGAATATCAAATCATGTGTTTAAGATTTGACTCATCATTAATGCTAAGAGTTTTCAACTATTTTGGCCTCAGGCATCACTGAAGTGACTTGTATTGCCGAAATGTCTATCTGGTCCAATACAATTGGAACCGTTCATTTTATTGTACATTATTCTAGTTTATACTATGTCAAATAGAGAATGGAAATGGGGAATGTGTCAAAGTGACAACAACCCGACCAAAGTGTAAAAAACAACCGAAGGCAACCAATGGGTCTTCAACAAATCGGGAAAATCCCGCACCAGGACGCGGACTTAAGTTGGCCCCTAAGATAGCCTCTTTGTCTCTTATGACTCGTATTATTTATTAGATATTGACTCATGATGTCAACAATACATCTTGTGTCATTTGAATAGAAATATTCACAAGTCAAAAGTGTATAACCTCAATACTCATGATGGCTTGACACTAAACCCATAACGGGAGGGATTGTGCTTGATATTCATATGATGAAGACATAATCTTTCAATCAGTTTAATTGATGTATGGAGCGGGCATGTCAGTAACTGCTTGTAGTCCTTTGTTAATGTATGTATCATTGTCATTTTGTTTAGTTTCTTTTGTTACCTATTCTGACATCGGACTCGGACTTCTGTTAAACTAAGTTTTACTGTGTGAATTGATGTGTGATTGTTTTTTCTACATTGGCTAGAGGTATAGGGGGAGGGTTGAGATCTCATTAAACATGTTCAACACCGCCGCATTTTTGCGCCTGTCCCAAGTCAGGAGCCTCTGGCCTTTGTTAGTCTTGTATGATTTTTAATTTTAGTTCATTTATGTATTTCGGAGTTAAGTATGACGTCCATTATCACTGAACTAGTACACATTTTTGTGTAGGGGCCAGCTGAAGCACGACTCCGGTTGCGGGATTTTCTCGCTGTGTTGAAGACCTATTGGTGGCCTTCGGCTGTTTTATGCTTTTTGGTCGGGTTGTTGTCTCTTTGAAACATTCCCTATTTCCATTCTTAATTTTATCAATTGTTATATGTAAGGATAAAATGAATGTTTAATACAACAAAGGAATGTACTGAAATTGTTTCCACATCTATTTAAAATTTTGGAAGTAATCTTCAAACTTCGTATTTAAATGAGCAATATGACAGGTGCATCATGAGGATCAGGGTCTGATAACAATACCAGAGCACTCAAGATACTCCCAAGATGATCCAAGATGTAGTTGGGCTCGTGTTGATCCTAATTTAGTTTTCTTTGTTGTAGTGTGCATTATGTTGTTTGTTTTTTTTTCTTATGCAATAGACATAATAAAAGAAGAAAAAAGACTTGACATCCTCATTAATAATTCAGGTAATGATTGATTGGGTATACATAGCTGACGTAATTCAATCGTTCAACAGAAAATATTACAAGTATATGCATCATACATGTATTCCGGAAGATAGCATGCTCATTCAAAAATAACAAAAATAACAGGAGTATTAGGAATACTGTCAATTAGCTTTAATTGTTGATAGCCTATCAAGTTTCAATGTATTAGCTTTGCTTTAAATGTTACCATTTGGAACCGGAATTTAAGATATGTCACTTAGACACGTGAATCTGACTCTTTGTTCCTACTTGTAAATGCTGCATGTTTAGCACGTAAGTAGCACAAACCAAATCCCTCCTACATATTTTCGTCATTCGGTCTGTGGGGGATATTTGTTTCATGACAATCATACCATATCTTATTATTATTATATCAACCCTGACACATTCTTTTAAGTCATATAATCCTGTGGTTGTCGTTGGTTGCTGTCTGCCGTTATTAATTTAGGTTTATTTTTTTTAAAGTATAAATACGGCGTTGGGTTATTCTCTTGAAATGCTCGAAATGCTCCATTCCGGGGCCGTTTATAGCCTACATGTATAAAAGGGATTCATTGTTGTAGAGCGTTCATTTTTAAGAGACCGGTGTTACATGTAACTAGATTAAAACAGCATTATCGTGAATAGTATTCTCAAATACATAGCTTATTGGCATACATAAAAAAGAACTGAACAAATTGATTTACAAGAGACAGTAGAAAGCTGAAGCTGAATAATGGCACTAATTTTTTTTATTGTATGAACTGAGGAATAAAGATGCAGGAAATACTAGTAGTGTGTACCCTACATAATTCTTGTATATTTTTTGTAGGTATTGCAGGATGGGCCTATAAAACAATAGGTCCGAAGACAAAGCAGAATTGTGATTTAATTTTTGGGGTTAATCATCTAGGACACTTCCTGTTGACTTATCTTTTACTTGACCTTTTTAGAAAGACCCGAAATTCTCGTGTAATAAATGTCAGCTTACTTCGGAATTTATGACGGATATCACCGCTTAAGTATGACAAAGGTCCAAATATTGATGGTATGCTTTATCCGGACCTGTCAGGCTACTACGCAAGCAAATAAGCCAATATTATGCATTCAAAGATGTTGTCGAAAATCCCTCAAGGTATATATATTTACATTAAAATATAAATGTTAAACAACATTCACTAAT